CCTCCAAAGGTGACGAACCATCCCTCCTTGTCAAGCCTGCTAATGGATATTAAATTTGCAGATACATCTGGACAATGTAGGGCCTTGCTGAGGGTGAATATATTCTGCACACCTGATATGGATGATTTCAGAGCGATGCTGCCGATCCCTTGTATGTTCAGTGAAGCACCAGCCTTTGATGAAGTTCCTGATGTTTCACCCAGCAGCATATAATGGAAAAAGCAATCTTTGTTCTGGATGAAGTGGGTGGATGCTCCAGAGTCCCCGTACAACAGTGAGGTGTCTATGAGTTCTTGACTAGCGTTATTGACTATTAGCGCTGATTCTTCTGCCCCCAGGATCTCCTCAATCGACTTCAAGGTTTTGTCGCTGACGTGCGCGCTCAGTGCAGTGACATTTGTATAGATGGAGCCTGCCTTGGATGATGATGTGGTGGCTAGGTTCGCGGAACTCGGAATGGGTGCGTCCCATTTTCCTTTCCACCAAGGGGGATACTGACCCTGTCTCCCTCCCCCTAATTTCCAGCATTCATCAAGGGTATGTCCCACACCTTTACAATTATTGTTGGCTGTGTGGAATTTGTCAGACCTTGGTGCTGTGGATCTCTTCAAGGATAGGCTTTGGACTTGGAGCGTGAGCGCTTGGATCGATGCTTGGAGTGCTTGTACGGTACTAGACTCCTGTGTCGATGAGGGGTTATTGATTGAGTTCCATCTGACTACTCGTTCGCCATGGGCAATAAGGTGTGCGATAACAACAGTGAGGTTTTTTTCAGCGTAGAGCGTGCTGACAACTGAGTCCCAACTCTTGGGGAATGAGTCTAGGAGAGTAGTCTTGAAACTCGTGTCACTGATACCGGCTCCTGCATCGTTAGCCTCCTTTCAAAGTTTACGCATCTTCTCAATATATCCCCCATTGCCACTGACCTTCTCTCCCTCTTGGTACTTCACAGCTTTCAATGTCTTCTCTCTGTGGTTGCAGACCAGGTCCGAGTAGGCGCCATATTGGGTCTTGAGTATGTCCCATGCCATGTGAGATGGTTTGGTGGGATCAATCCCGACGCCGAATACGTCCTTGACATTGCGAATGATGGAAGCGAGTGCGACGCTCTCGTGTTGGGTGTATTCGAGTAAGTTAGGGCTGAGGCTGTTGATAGGAGTGGCTGGTAACGAAGTGAGCGTAGTACCTGGAATGGCCACTTTATTCTCCCAGTAGTTGACGAGGCCATGGGTATTTCCTTCGGTCAACATGACCATTTTGAAGGTTGCCCAGTTCTTGCCATTGAATTTCTCATCGTCATCCAGTTTAATAGATAGGACTTGGTGGGTGATAGTCGTCATTATAGGGGGTAGACAAAGTTTGGTTTGCACAGTCTGTGCAGTTTATTGAGTCGTTCGGTAGATACGAGTGTGTTCTTGACCAGCAGGGATAAGCAATGGAGCCCAGAACCTGTTGAGGATAGAACAGCTCAGTCAGTCACTTGTAGTGATAGTGAACGGCTGTATTAGATACGCTACCTGTTGAGGATAGAACAGCTAAAAGTATGTAGCGTAAGAAATATGTAGGTGAAGATAATATGAATGGTATACACACCTCAGTCAGTCACTCGTAGTGATAGTGAACAGCTGAGGTGCATAGAGGGGTAAAACGATAGGTATATCCAATGAAAGTAAAGGGGTTGTAAAACTATATATAGAAGGTAAGTTCAAAGAAGAAATAGTACGAATGTATACGGGCTATGGTTGAATCCTTGACAAATCTGCCCTGCTCTATGTCATTGGTGTAATAGGATACATGATTTTATACACCTTCAATGTGACTACGTCTGCTTACCCACAAACCCTTTATGTTTCAATAACTGTTTGTCCTCATTCCATCTTTGTGAAAGAATCTCAATGCTAATGTCCTACTATGAAGGCAATCTCACCTACGCTTATCGTGGCACACATCGCATCTGGGAATGCACATCCCGATGACAGCTGGCAAGCGAGCAATGATGCCTCTTCCTTATGATTTGGGCAGGCAGTTCATTCGACAAGCATGAATGCTGATAGTGAGTTATCTGCTGATATTGATCTGGAACACGGTGAATTGGAGATGATTGATAACTTCCAGCTTGAGGACATTGTGAATATCAAAAAGGGAGCTGACGAGACAGAGAACAGGGGAACAGAGGTCACCTAGAATAATATTGATGTTGTTGTCCACATTGGCAGAATTGCTCTAGTCATTGAGGATCCCGATGGGAGTGTCATCTACATGGCCGAACATTTGCATGGAAACAAACGAGATTGTTGCCATGCCTGTGCCAAATATATGCTTCACACAATTCCATGGAGATTCTATATGAGGTAAGATGTTGAGAGGAATGGGGTCGAACTTTTCTCTGTTGAGAAGATACTGGGGAAGAATAACATCAGTATCATGCAGCATAAGTTTACAAAGGCCATGTATCAGGAGATGTCGCCAACTTATGGTATTGTGCATTTCAAAGAAGCAACCGGACAGAGATGGTGCACCAAAGGCAAGTCGAAACACGATGGTGGTATAACAGAAAATACTATACGGGGCAAGGCGTGCAGGTCCAGAAAATTTCACAAGGACAGTATACAAAGCCTTACTAGTTATTATCCTCATCATAGATGATAACAATGTGAATGAGACCTCTGGTACCATAGCTGATACCAATACCGGGATAAAGGTAGAGACATCTAAATGGTCCATAAATTGCACAGGAACCATGCAACCTGCAAGAGACTCGCTCATGAGGATCTGAAGGCAGCATCCAAGGCTTATAGCCTTGATGATAGTTGAGAGAATACGTGAGGCCCACCGTAGAGCAGCATTAAGACAACAAGTAGACCAAAAATGAATAACATTACAACAATAACGTCTCGCCTCCGACAAGAGTGCCTATACAGCTATTTATCAAAGAAACAGGTGAAGTATGTGTCATTTGGGTGAGTATCTGAGAGTAAACAATAGTCAGCAATAGTATAAGTCTTGGGTACACCATACCAGAAGATCAGTGGACATGGAATGAGGCTTACCAATAGTATTAACGTGCCCACTCCCCACACTTGCATATTGCTCCAAGGGTACCATATTGCATGACACCAGATCCTCATAATGACCTTTCTGTCCTTCTGTACCCTCTGAGCAAGCGTAATCACTGAGCTAGTGCGATTTTAGCAATCCTGACGCTGTGGTTCAGCAGTAGGGAGAATGGGAAAAACTGGAGTGCCAGCCCATGGAGAAGGTGTTGTGTCTAGTGGCAGCACAGCCACAGTCTTTTTTTTTCTGGATTCTATGCTCACTCAAACTTGCTGCTTCCTTGCAGCTTAACTTATTTCAATGGATTGCTGAAGAGTCTGTGGAATTTTACACTCAATAAAAACACATGTTTTCTCTTTATCTGGACCCATGATAATGAATGTATCTGAGTCTGCCTTAGTCTGACCATTGGTGCTCGTTGTGTCATTTTTGCAAGCAGTAAACCATGACTCAGAGATACTCAGGTGTTTTATCAATGTTACAGAAAGATATTCTTCTGAGAATAATTCGTGTATCTCTGTGACTTGGGATTCGAATAGGCCTTTATACCTCCTTTGCTGAGCTGACGAGTCATTTCTTTAACTCAAGGAATACCTGAAGAGTTAGACATTAGTTGTGTAATGTTGAGGGATAACCTGGGGAAACTTTTACAAAGGTGAGCATATCACCTTACATACCCATAATAACTGTCTTGCTTACCATTTCTTGTACAGGTGACCATCTGGCTACTGAGGATGGTGTATGCAAGAAAGTTGTTGCTTGGGCCAAGCAAAGGGTCCTTGTGATGATAAGAGATGTTCAATAGGTAAGTATCTTTTCCTCCAATGCTTATGGTGATGAGGGGATCTGTCTTTGTCTGGAAATTCAACTGCTTAGTTTCTTGTTTCTGCAGGTGGCCGATGCATATCCCTACACTCAGAAATGTGCAGTCGTTTCATTAATGGTACCAGAAGAGATTTCATGAGACACTATGCGATCTATGCAATTACAGCTTCTCTGTGGTGAATCAAACTGACCTCAAAGCATCTTTCGCCCAGCCAGAGATTGTTTCGGTCTTGTACTAAGACACAGTGACTTTGTGAGATTTGGCATGGATGGTATGTTGTTGAGAGTAAGTAGTGGAAAGACTTAAAATGGTGAGCTTTGTGATATGGATACCAGCATTCCTGCTCACCAGGTTCCTCACGCAGAGGACCTGTCATCAAAGTGAGTATTGCTCGGATTTGGATATGAATGTTCTTCTCACTCACTGCATGCTTTTGTGCTGGTGGTTAGGGTGCAGGGGATAGGGTGCACAAAAAACACTTTCCTTCGACCAAGCAGAGAGAGCCATCCTTAATGACAATTGAATATATTCAATAGGGTGAGTGTATCTCTAATAAATATCATGCCTTTTATCGCATAACTGGTTCTTTGACTGCCTCCAGATGTGACAGACATCATGACTCGAACATTTTGAACGAAATAACTTATTATGGCCCCAAAAACATGAGGAGTACTTTGAAGGAGCCGTGATCTATATGCACCTCAATATGTCAGTACTATGTAGATGCAATACCGGTCTCCTTCCCAATGAACAATGAACCCACAGCCTAATGATCCCCACCTCATCAATGAGACACTGCCTAGGACAACAATTTTTTTGCCGTTTACTCAAATCCCTCATCCAATATCAGGATATGAATGTGCCATAATGAAATTCGAATTGTCTCAACCTCATGAGCGACACGTTCGACGCGTATCCATCTTTCAAGTGCTCCAATTGTAACTACACCTTCATTGACTTGCTTTTCACCATATCACCACTATGATCTTTGGGACACATGGCATCCACAACGCGTCAGTGTCAACGATCAGGAAACCCACATGACATCTCTTCACTTGTAACAGCGACCATGATTTCATGCTCAGCCCTCTCACTCTCCATGCTTTTCTTCATCTTCATCATGTCTCTGGTGTCCATTCCCACCACTGACGTCAGTTGGAGGTGGGAAGGATGATCTGTCATAGCAGACTCCTGAACTCGTTCAGATCTGCCATTTGCTCTATGGCGAGCTTGGATGTGAGCACTGCACAGAATGCATGTTTGATGGTCACTAATATGTGTCTTTTCAGCAGGTATCCCTGACTTTATTCTCTTCGAAACAGGAACAAGGTTCACTGCTGGCTTCAGACCTTCAAGTGGGTGTCATATGCCATGATATGGTTTGGATTTATTCAATGTTCCTTTCAGGCATTGATAAATATGGCGTCTTTACCATCAGAGAACCTTGCATGCAGTGACAGTACAATGTACATGTCTGCAAGGTCAACTGATGGTGAACCTGCATTCCAAATACCTGAAGCTCAGGTAAGCACCGCCATTTAGTGCCTTTCATGTACCAACTAATTTTATGTGTGACAGGTTACCTCCTCCACCAGCAACTCACCCTCGAACCAATTGGTTGTGACATCATATGCAATGGTCCCGGAGCAGAACGGCACACCCTGTATAACCGTTGGTGGATCAGGGGTGAGGAATGAGGTTTTGGTTGAACCTGCCATTCCTTCTGCTGAGAGCTCGGATGTGAGCACCGCACAGAATACATGTCCTATGGTCACTGATATTTGTCTTTTCAGCATGTATCCCAGGATTTATTTTCATCAATAGCTCGAACCCCCCTCTTCGACAAACTATGTTGGGACCTTGCCAAGTTCGAAGAGGACCTCGAAGTGGGTTTCGGACTGCTTTCTATCGCTGAACATGCTAATGCATACCTTGTAGACTGTGCCATTCTTAATGCCATTGTCATTGGTGACCGACCTTCAAAAAATGATCCTGGAAGTGCCCTTGACAAGTTCGAGTGTGCCTACAATCGGTCAGGATCTGGAAGGATGCATCGCAGTGAGCATTGTCAAATAGTTATGTTTATACACCTTCTGATAGGTGATATTGTGTAGGGAATGTCCATGACTCACTCATTACCTGAGCAGCTGACTAACCCCATTCTATGGGACTCATCCTCAGAGTCATCCAGTAGTGATGACGAGGAGATAATTAGAGCTCGCTCAATAGAGTGGCTGACAAATTCAATGCTTCATAACTCCTCATCATCAGACGCGTCTGTTGATGAGAATGAGGTCACTGATTCATTCAATGCATCGCTGGCCACGCCTGTTTCTAGGCATATACTCTTGCCCTCTCTCATCCTGAATGTCTCCTGGAAACTTGGAAACAAGGGTAAGGAGGTAGAGGAAATGGTGAGCATCGTCATTTGATCAATATGATACACCTGCTGATGGTTGATGTTGTGTATGAAAAGGTCATGGCTTGCTCATTGGAGTGGCCATCACACGCTGTCCTTCAGTCGACATCTGAGGTGCCGGTGGTTGTGCCTGTTCAACGGCTCGTATGAAGGCACCCTCTCAGCGAAAGGCAATAATTTCTGTCCCCCTGGTTCAGAGTAGCAGACCATCCCATACCCCAAAACTGACCTCCTCATGTTCCAACACCTGGGAGGGTGCAGCGACTGGGAAAGGTTGTATCGCCATTCTTCCACTCGCTGCATCCCAACCAGCAAAACCCCATACCCTGCCATCCTCCTGTCATTACACCTATGATGTCAGCCAGAAAAAAGCAACCATCCCTGCACATCATTGTGAGTCGGGCATGACCCCCGATGCTCACTGTTCCCCCCTTGTTGCATCTACCACATTCCAGCGGGACAACAGCAGCACTGCTGTGTGGTTGAGCACATTGCTATGTGAGTTGTCATTCCATTTGATTGTATTACTATTGTTCTAACTTTATTCCCAGATCTCGATCCAAAAACCCTTTATTATGACTTTACCCCTATTTTTCCTTATCTTATCTATCCTTATCCCTCAGAACCCCAGACCTACCTATCTTATCTCTCAGACCCATAATATTCCACTGGCACACCCCTTACCTGTTTATCTGGTTGCCGTCACCCCAGTTCACAGCTGCTGCATCTTAGATGACCGATGACCTGCATGTACCATCATGCTTCTCTTGATGGCATCATGCTTCTTAGTAGTTGGACAGGAGTCAACTGCTAGTCAAGGGCGGTCTACAGGATGCAGCCTATTCAGATGGAGTCCTATGCAGATGCAGGTGATATGCACTCTTTACTCTCATTCGTTAGGAGTGCACTTCTTTTAGTGTCCTCACTTCTCATTCATTGAAAGGTGCACTTCTTGCTGCATGCGCCCTTGTAGAGACTATTCTTAGTATGAGTCTAACATGTATTTAAGCTAGCCTACACTGTGGCCTTAGACTCCAGCTTTGGCTAAGGTTATATACTCCTAACTCTTACAAGCTCCTTGCTTTTGCTATAAGTGATGCCTAACTTCTCGCAATCTACCAACACCTCTCTAACACTGAATCACTGAACGCGAGTGACAGGATAGAGATCAGCTTTGGTTCAGATTAGAGTTAGTGCTTAACAATTAGCCGAAGCTTGCCCTTACTACCCTTACTGTTGTTAACGGTAACTGTACTGCTTCAAGGCAGTCACTGTTATACTTCCAAAGAAAAAGAAATCTTCAGCCCATTATTTAAAACGGCATCCACTGTACTCTGAGACCATAAACATTCATTGTGGTACAACAAACTTTATGCCGCTCACCCCCTCAGACTGCACTGCCATTATCTTCGGAAGTACCTTCAGTATCTTGACATTATTAACTGCAGTCACAGTTATCCACATTACCTGACCAACCTGACACCAAGAGCACTGACCCCTGGAAGAGGGAGAGTACTCAGACTCAATGGCTCATCAACAGGAACCTCACGAACAGGAAGCACTGTCTGGCTCAGGTCAGTCACACCATAGCCAAGGAGGGAGCGAGACACACTTCGACCTCCCTTACCTGATGGAGAAGACCGAGCCCCCATGCTCGAGCTTCAGAGCGAGGATCAGCAAGATGGTGAAGGCAAAGAATCCCTTCAGGAGGAAGAGCTCGGACGACTCAGCATCCCTCCTGACAACAATGACCGAGTCAACCCCAGGTTTACCACCGAGTACTGGACCAATGCGGATGGATCCTGGGATGACACGACCTGGGGTGATGACAATGACTCCAGGGAGCCATCAATCACCTCCACAGAGTTATCCGCTGCTGTTCCAGGGTTCAATGACGATGAAGAGCGCCTCTATCAGAGAGGAATGAGTAGGTTCTACATCGACGTATTCGATCAAATCATCCATAGATGAACCAGACGAAGAACCACCTTCAAAGAAGGTGAAAACCCGTTCCTCCCTGCCTGGGGATGAGGGGAAATACGGGGAGTATCTGATGCAGGAGGACATCGAAGAGATGAATCTCCCGAGCTGGAGTGGCACGATGCCCCAACCTCCCTCTCATCATACACCCCTGATGGAACTTACAGAGTTGAAGGACCCCCTTCCTGGTGGGACGACGAGTCTGTCCATGAGTCAGACTTTGTCTGGCCCTCTCCCTGACCTGAATCCAAAGTTCTACCCTGAACGCTCATCACCATCACCGACCTTAGAGATTTGCCGAGCCCTGTTTTGCCCACATCTCAGAAACTTTCACCAACGATGCCATCGAAGATGGACCCAACAACGTTGTATTCACCAAGTACTCTGACAGTAATAATGAGGAGCTCCCAGAGTACTACACCCACCCAGGATCCCCAATTAATGAGGGCCAGTGGATTATCTTCCCAGGAGACACACCAGAGGGAGATTGAATCCTCGATTGGTTTGCTGGAGACCAACCCTTTCCGGACCCTATCATCCTCCTGAACCGCATCCCAAGGGAGCTTGACCAGACCCCTCCCCATCCGTACCCCTACTGCAACTGCTCCATCTGTCGGCATCTCAGAACCTTGGCCATCGACGAGTACGAGGGAGCAAAACCCCCCATCGAGCTTGAGCCCTTCCTTGCCCTGGAAGGAGGGTTCTTACCTGATGGATATGACAGGGATTTCCTCCCACTCTGAGATCTATGGCCCTGGATCTGGAGATGTGAAGATGCCCTGGAGATCTGGGATGAGTACTACAGATACTTCAGGGGCGTTTGGGACTGGAACGATGACTGGTATGCAGGATACGGGATATTCTCCCGATACCAGGTCATCAGTTTTCCACCCGACCATGACAACAAGACAGATCCCTGGGCCCAAGCTGGTCTGGTCATCGACCAGCGACTTCAGGAGGATGAGCCCAGTAGCCCCCACAGTAGAAGTCCCTCCGACAACCCACCTGAGTTTGTTCAGGGCTCAAGTACAGAGACTCATGGACCGAATATATGATCTAACATGGCAGCAGATGTTAGAATGGACAAGCAGACAATTACGGTACAACATGGATTGGACCACGTCTGACCAAGAACAAGCATATAATGCTGCAGAACTAGGTTCCACATTGGAAGACAGGATACTCTGCACTGAAACCTGGTATCATGCCACCATTGACTGGAACAAAATACACCCCAACTGACTTGTAGCACCAGGGAGATGCTACGGTGAGGAGTCGTTCCCTAACCTGGGAATAGTAGGCTCAGAAAACCCGATCCCTGATATCACCTGGGCAACTTCCAGCACCTTAGGACTGAAAGCGGCAGGAGGAGACACCTTCCATGCCCATAGCATGGGCAGAGAACCCTCACAATCAGTGTCAGCAGGAGGAACGGGTGAACCAGCACCCGCTGCTCTCGGAGGAGGTGGCGGCAGCCTGGGAGGACCAGGAGGAGGTGGTGGAGGAGGACCTCCACTCATACCACCTTGACCTCCAGCACAACCACCATCACCCTGTAGTGATCAAATCTCCGATCACTACCGTGATCTGCCAATCCCCCTCTGCCACCTGATCTGCCAGTTGGATGGGTCATTGCCGACGGACAACCCAACCCTTGGGGAAATGTGAAACCAACATTGATAGAGGTCCCTGACAAGTTCCATGGGAAGGCCAGTGACCTAGATCATTTCTTCAATCACTGCAAATACTACTTTGAGGTCTTCGCCCAATACTTCACCCTCAATGAAGCATATGGGTATGGCCCAAGTCGGGTAGTCTTCACAGCCCACTGGTTTGGTGGGGAAGCGATGACCTGGTGGGTCCATCAACAGTGACACTACAAGGACTCACACAGTGGGAGGCATCGCCTCCCCTCCTGGGAGACCTTCCAGGAAAACATCCAAACACATTTCAGGGAGGTAGCAGAGGTCCAAATCAAGCAGATGCAATGGAAGAAGCTGCAACAAGCACTGAAGAGGCTGGCTGTGGGCACCTGTGGAATAGTGAGCAGGCTAAAAGGCGAACCTCAAAAACCCACACACACACTCACACAACTACACAAACTACAATCACCCTCGTAAGTTCTAGAGGGAGCGATTATTTCTAATGCGATCCGACTATACTTCAATATCTCGAAGAGTTTCTCTTATTCTCAGTGCTCTTAGTGAAGCTAAGCTTTCTCTAATGAATCCCTAAGTCTAGGAACTTTTACAGGAAGGTTGTTCACTGGCGCAACGCAACCTTCAAGGCAGATTTGAGTTAAAATACACAAGGGACACTGATCCTGACAGAAACAGAGGCAATACACACCGAAACTTTAGTGAGCTCGCTAAAAGAACACCACAGGCAAGCACTGACTTAGCCCGCTTGCTACACAACTGTATGTAGGGGTTCTCCAACTAACTTCAACAGATGATCTCGACTCAAGAACACTTCAGAAGTGCTCGGAAACAGATTCAGAAAACGGAAACTCGAAACAGAACTGATGCAGAACAGACTGAACAGAAACAGAACAGAACAGACAGAACAGAACAGAACAGATCTCGCTTTTCCTCTTCAGAACATACTCCAAATGGACTTATCAACACTCAATGGAACAGAACAGCTTCACTGATTCTTATTCTCTCGGAACTAAGTGCACAAAAAGTCTTTTCTCAAGGGTATCTCATATTTCTCTGAGTGAGCTTGCTAACTCTATGCAAGGCTCAAAGTCACAAACTGATCCTTTGTTACAGTACCACCTTCAATGCATGCATGGGAACTCAGGGCTCGAAACTTGGCCTCTACCTACTGTAACCAGCCTACTTATACTACAGGGGAATTAGAATTACAAATGTCATGCAGTACCCAGACTCCTACATGTATAGCATGTCGCCACCGCTGCCTTACTGAGCATCTGAGTCAGACTTCCCAGTTTTAGTCTCATTTCTATAGTGAGCTTGCTAAACGTGGGCCAAGAGGTGCTCTCCCGACACCCACGGGCTTGTTCTCTAGCGACCAACAGGTCTAGGTGCCTGGAACTATCAGTCCTGGTGTATGTCATTCAAGACTTCTTTCTTGGATTCACAGAGGCTTCTCATAGACACGGCAACAAGTGAGTCTTCTAACAATGGGACTCAGAACAATGGGACATGGGCTCATGGACTTCAGCTGAAGCCATTGCCCAAGTTCATGCTGGTGATATCTGTCATCTCACTTAAGGATTTCCCCAGATTTTCAGGTATGACACATCACAGTTAGCGAGCATGCTAAGTATTCTCAGTGTCACTGCAATCTTCAAGGTTTTATCTAGCTCCCATGAGTGTGCTTGTAAGTTAGAGCCTAAGGCATTGGGTATAGGGTTTGGCCTTCTCATCATGCATGCCCATCAGGTACAGTGCTGTGACTAAGTCCTGTTTAGAATCCCATTGCTTCTTATGCCATAAGTTATATTCCATATCATTGCACCACATAGCATTAGTGTCAATGCATAGTTTTAGTCTGCTTGCTCACTATATCTCAGTATGCATGTAAAACACTTTAGATTGCAAAATTACACACATAAATAGGCTGCAGTCGCAACAGCGCAGTTCAAGACAGCCATCGAGTTCTTCAAAAAATTCGAACAGCTGGCTGTGGAAGCCGAACGTTTCCACAACAACA